GTGTGCTAGTCAAGCATTTAAAACCAATGAAGTGAATCAAGGAAAGCCTATTTTGAAATGCAAATCTCAAGAGTAACAATGCTTGGACAAAGAAAATTTGCATTTAAACTTGCGTCGTTATATGTTCGCCAGTTTGCTACAATTTTAACAAAGAGAGGATAAAATATGGTTATCAATGTGAACTGCATGGTTGTATTTATTGTATTGATGAATAAAAACGCGGTACTTTTTTACAGTTTTAAGTGAAAATACACTCACAACCGTATTGAAATCAAGCTTGTTAATGTTTACACACTGTCGCTGGCTTCAGTAAAGGACACATACGACACATACTAATAAAATGATACTATAAATTCCCATACTATTTCCAACGAAAACCCATGCTATATGTCCATAGTAAGGATAAATTAGTGATAAATGAGCAAGAAACTTAATATCTCACATCTTTCAATTCTATTTAGTTGCCCCCACCGTTTATAATTATAAATTCCAACAATTAGCGAGGCCTGATTTAAATTTGAGGAAAATTTTGTAAGAGTGTAGTTCGGAGACCTTGACCGCCATATCGATACACCAGGGGGATTCTTAGCTTAAAAATAAATAAGAGAAGCCAACAAATAATTCTTAAACTACACAGAAAATAAAATACGTGCGGTTTGAAAATATTTGCTGGACCTACAATTCTGGCAAAAATTATCGTGGAGACCGCGTGCGTCAAACAAAACTACAGTGTGTATCAAAATAATTCGAATCCAAATTTGACAGACTGCTGTTTATAAAATACTACAGTAAACCATGTAATTTTTATATGGCAATAAAGAATAGCCTATTAAGTTTCCGATTATATCGTTCTTATATCAATAAGATCAAAAATGACCAAGAAATCGTGTGTTAAAACTGGTTGCTCGAAATCAAATTTTTCCGCCGATGGGAATTCGAAGTGAGACGTACAAACAAAAGATAATGCAAATTTAATTAATCAACAAACTGTTATGTAGCAAAATTTACATAAATTCGTGTTCATTTAAAGAGATTTAAGCTCCTATGCCTTCAACATGTTGAACGAGAAGATATTCGCGTTAAATTTGCATTTTAGTTTTCAGTGATGATTAGCATTTCAAAGCCTTGTGGGACTAACTTTGAAAGAAAAAATGTCCAAATCCCATCGGCGGAAAATTGTGATTCTTATGGACTTTTTTTGTCAAAGCAATACTCCTTCATTTTCCAACTAAATGACGCGTACAGCATGTCATTTGAAAGGTAAATAAATAAACTTAACAATGGTGTAAAAACCAACCGAATTTGTCAAATATGTTCTGCGTTATTACACGCCAAATTTGGATTCGAATTATTTTGATACACACTGTATATGTATTTCGACAGAATTTATCCCACTAAAAAAATTCTCCCCTTTCAATATTGGCAAATCATCTAAACATACTTTTAAAATTTAAATGCGGCAAACAACATTGAATAGGGGCCAGGGGGTGGGCGGCTAATTTCATGAAATAACGTCTCAATGTTAATATTGCCATTATTGGCGATGAAACAGTTAGGTGTCCACATAATTTTTGCCAGGATTGTAGCTCTTGGTATAAAACTGATCCATAGGAAACGTTTGATGTTGTTATTTGCCGTCCGGAAAAATGTAAGAGACGGATTCCGACCTTTCGATCGGGATGATCCTTTCGGTCAGAAGAGTCGTTTAGGCATACTAGGCGGGCGGGGGGGGGGGGGGGGGGGGG